GATCAAACTCGCAACCCCAAACTTCCCTCTAGTTCAAAGCTAAGAAGGCGACCGTAAACATATGTACAATTATAATCTGCCACACTACTCCTCACTTTTTAAATGTGTTTGCCCGGCCCAAACACCACAAACAACCCAGGTTAACTCCCTGTCACCACAGGAAAGGCCATGAGGACACCATTTGTAACAGGAAAGGCCATGGGGACACCATTTGTAACAGGAAAGGCCATGGGGACACCATTTGTAACAGGAAAGGGAGTAGTATGCTTCAACCATATGCTATAACCACAAACCCTAGCTTCCCAGACCGCCTCTCTACCAATTAAGCTAAATGGGAATAAATTCCCTCTAGCGTGAAGCTAGAAGGCGACTGTAGTCTTACGTACTGTAACAAGAGGCCCAAGAGGGCCTGTATCGCTCACCTGAATATTTAAGCAGTCATAGCAAAATATTCTCATTAAATATTATATTGCACTAAAAATATTTCCCTCGCAAACTGTGTTGACTCCATCTGTTGAAACTACCAGCAAAATATTATTATAAGATTCTATGCTTTTTGATTCTTCTTCATAAGTTGCTTGACATATTTTTCCCTGTGATCTTGTCAGTAGGTCAATGTCATTTTCCTTCTCAAATTGGTTAGCTCTATTCCAAAAAGCTACCAGCCAAATCTTATGAATCCATTCCTTTTAGTTCTCAAGAACAAATCCATTAAAATGTTGTTGACCTCTGTGACCTCTAAAGTAGGTTGAGGTCATTTTCATTTGCAAACTTTGGTGAGCTCTATCCCGGGAAGTCACCAGCCAAATATTATAATTTTATGCCTTTTAATTCTTCAGAAGAAGCTGTTTGAACTGTTTGACATATTTGAACGCTGTGACCTTGAAAGTAGGTCAAGGTCATTTTCATTCGCAAACTTTGTTTGGCTCTTTCCCAGGAAGCCACCTGCCAAATATTAAGATTTTATAACTACCAGTTCTTCAGAAGAAGTCGTTTAAAGTGTTTGACATATCTGCCTCATGTGACCTTAAAAGAAGGTCAAGGTCATTTTCATTCTCAAACTTTGTTCGGCTCTTTCCTAGGAAGCTACAAGCCAAATATAGAGATTATATACCTTTCAGTTCTTCAGAAGAAGTCGTTTGAAGTGTCTGACACATTTGACTCCTGTGACCTTGAAAGAAGGTCAAGGTCATTTTCATTCTCAAACTTTGTCGGGCTCTATCCAAGGAAGCCATCAATCAAAAATAAAGATTCTATACCTTTCAGTTCTTCAGAAGAAGTCATTTGAAGCTTTTGACATATATGACCCCTGTGACCTTGAAAGTAGGTCAAACTAGTTTTCATTCTCAAACTTTGTTGGGCTCTATCCCAGGAAGCCACCAGCCAAATATAAAGATTATATACCTTTCAGTTCTTCAGAAGAAGTCGTTTGAAGTGTTTGACACATTTGACCCCTGTGACCTTGAAAGAAGGTCAAGGTAATTTTCATTCTCAAACTTTGTTGGGCTCCATCCAAGGAAGCCATCAGCCAAATATGAAGATTCTATACCTTTTAATTCTTCAGAAGAAGTCGTTTGAAGTTTTTGACATATTTGACCCCTGTGACCTTGAAAGTAGGTCAAACTAATTTTCATTCTCAAACTTTGTTGGTCTCTATCCCAGGAAGCCACCAGCCAAATATAAAGATTCTATACCTTTCAGTTCTTCAGAAGAAGTCGTTTGAAGTGTTTGACACATTTGACCCCTGTGACCTTGAAAGTAGGTCAAGGTCATTTTCATTCTCAAACTTTGTTGGGCTCTATCCCAGGAAGCCATCAGCCAAATATGAAGATTCTATACCTTTTAGTTCTTTAGAAGAAGTCGTTTGAAGTTTTTGACATATTTGACCCCTGTGACCTTGAAAACAGGTCAAGGTCATTTTCGTTCTCAAACTTTGTAGGGCTCCTACCAACGAAGCTTTCAGCCAAATATCATGACTCTAGGCCTGTCCGTTCTTCAGAAGAAGTTGTTTAAATGAAAAGTTGACGGACGAGGACGGACGGACAACGGACGCCGCGCCATGGCATAAGCTCACTTGGCACTTCGTGCCAGGTGAGCTAAAAATCAGCCACACATAAATACAGCTTAAATTTTCATTAAAAAATAATCTGCCCAATATCCACCACTTGTCTACCTAATTAAGTGCCTTAAGTATAACTTTAATGTAATCAATATATTCGTAATGTTAATATTATCCTTGTATAATACTAGCTGCTTCCTACCAACTCGATGAGGGAGAATTTTTGTTTAGCTCATATGGCAGTAAACCAGAGGTCCCAGTCCAGTTCCGCTACATATGAAATAACATTTTCCAGTTCATATTAATCACTCTGTTGGCCCAGAGGGAAGTGTGCAGAGGGTCTTGATGTTAGATGAAATTGGAGCACCCAGAGAAAACCCAAGTGGTGGGACAGGTGACGGAATATGTTTTTGATTATGCCCATTGGAATATTGAACACCAGCCATCTTATTTAGTGAAAGGTTAGTGCACTATCCAATGTGCCACCCGACTTAACCCATTAAATTATGTATATTGATTTATATGTATAGGAAATTATAGGAATGCTATGCTTTTTGAAGCTTTTCCCATATTATAGTTTTTGTTTTTATTCTTCTTTAAAACTTTAACTTAATTGTTCAGGTTTTTTTTATCTATATAGATCTATTTGAGCACAACTAAATTTATCTTAGGTTGTTTTACCATCTATTCAATTTACACATGCTTCACAGGAGCTGTCACTTCATCACCTGACCAAAATACAAAATTATTCCTTAAATAACAATAATTAAGAATGGATGACAGATGGACAGATAAACTGTTTCATCCTAAATCCTGTTCGCACAACAGGTCATTTGCCCTAAACCCAGCTTGCCAAAGGTTGTTTCAACCTACTACGAAAAACTTACAATTTTCGTGTTTCACAAACAATTGTGCTGTAAGACTAATTTCATGCAGGTTTGGCTACATTCTATGTAGAGCGTACCATGTACAAATCTAAAGAGAACGTCTTGTTTTAGCCATATAGAAGGAAGGATATATGTTATATATGTTTCCATCATACAAGGAACCACAAACCCTAGATTCCCAGACCGCCCTCTACCAATTGAGCTAAATGGAAATAAATTCCCTCTAGCATGAAGCTAGAAGGCGACTGTAATCTTATGTACTATAAAAATCAGCCGCACAAAGAATTATCTGCCCAATATCCACCACTTATCTACCTAATTAAGCACCTCAAGTATAACTTTAATGTACCGTAATCAATATATTCGCGATGTTAATGTCATCCTGGTAAAATACTAGGTGTCTTAACTGGGACAAATGGGGTCCCATGGATGCTGTAGGTGGTAACTAGTGACTTCCTTCTGTTTGTAACCCGTACGTAGTACCTTACATTTATCAGGATAGAATTGCATTTGAACCATTTGTTCTCCCACTGCTGTAGGTTTTAATCAGGACCACAAGATCAAGAACATTTTTGTAAAGTTTGTTAAAATCATCCAGAAGGGCAAATCAAGATGTAGGAAATATCTAAATCAACAATACCAAGAAGAATTTCAAATGTGAAAGGATTTCAATTTTCGTTCTGAAATGCGCCGAGTCCATTTAACACTGCATGGTCTTCGACTCGTAATAGGAAGAAGACAAAATAGAACTCTCTGGTGGATAATATGGGATAAACAATATAGGGACACAAAACGGACGACTGTTTACTATATAAAACATCTAATAATATAAATGAGTCTCAAGCACTCCAAAAAGATCTATCAAATCTTGAAAATTGGGAATCTGAATGGCAGATGAAATTTAACCCTGAAAAATGATATGTCATAAATATTTCTAAAAAGTCCAAACCTAACTTATTTCAATATAAATTACATAATCATGTACTTGATTCTGTCAAGGACAGCAAGTACCTTGGTGTTACAATAAGCAATGATCTTGATTGGGGGCCCCATATTAATAATATAACTTCCAAGGCAAATAAAACTTTAGGATTTTTACGCAGAAACATGAAAAACTGAACACGTAAGGTTAAAAACCTTACGTACACATCACTTAATGTGCGTCCGATCGTCGAGTACGCCTCACCAGTTTGGGATCCTTACAAACAAAACCAAATTAACCAAATTGAGCAGATTCAGCACAAGGCAGCAAGATATGTGTTTAATGACTACAGTGAAAGATCACCAGGTTCTGTCACTGGTATGATAAACCATCTTAAATGGGAGAACTTACAATCACGCAGAACAAAGGCAAAGCTTGTTCTAATTTATAAGATTAATGGGGGGTTGGTTGAAGTGACTAATGACGTCCTGACACAGTCTGACAGGCGTACTAGAGGCCAACATAAGTTTCGGCATATATATACAAGTAAAGACTATTTTAAGTCTTCTTTTTTCCCAAGCACTATTGCAGCTTGGAATGATCTTCCCGAGGCAATTTGCATGTCACCCTCCCTAGAATCCTTCAAAGGTGGTATCTCCACCTTAACATTTGGAGGATCCTGTCTGGCTAATTAACTATAATTGTATTTAAGCCACTGGACATAATAAGAATATGTTTAAAATAAGCTACAACTAATGTTATTTTAACGGTTGGACTGTGGCAAATATTTTACTCATATTATAATTTTCGACCTCCATTTTCATGTACATAGCGCCACAGTTCCGGGATATTTCACACTCCGGCACCGGAGTCTTTCCCGTAAACGGAAGAAGAAGAAGAAAACTATTTGTTTTCGTAACCATTTTTATCATATATATGACAAAATAGCATTAAAGAAATTGAAAACTTCAACTCTGTCAAGTCTACTTTCGGTTTGAAAATGTAATCTTTTTGGGCTTTAGTTGTGCATATTCACGGAGTCTCTCCCCTCTCTGCATTGTACCAGAAAAATATAATTGCTTGATCCGAAAATACGAAATAATCAGGTGTTCCAATTATTCCAATACCTCACCATGAATCTGTACAGCGCTAGTGCGGTCGCATCTTCGTCTAATATGGACGTCGAATAATTCAACAGAAACGAAAGTAGAAATACCAACAATTTTCCTTATCCAATCAAATCGCAGGTTACATTGACGCATGCATTCATTCAACCCAGTCGGTAAGTTGCCTGTTTGCTAAATTTCCCACAACATATAATAATAATAATAAATCATATAGCATTGACACCTAGGTTGTCATTTTGTTCGATTTTAAAAGCCATTACAAGCCATTATACATGCCTAAGGGCACTCAACAACCTGAACAGTTAAGTGAACTGATTATGAGACGAACTATTCCATTGGACAAACTAATCATGACTTTTTTTCTTAAAACATTATCTTAATATTGTTTACTACACGATTAATTGAAGATTTTGGTTTAATTAAGGTTTAATTTATGCTTTTATAATGCCTATAATATAGGCTGATTTCTTCTTATTATTCAATTTTCCAGAATACGAAAACGAAAGTGGACATGGGCAGTACCTAGAAAATGCAGATTAGGACAACGTGTAGCTAGTGACTTCTTGCATTTGTACCTTCGTTCGAGGTCGAAGGTGAGTACATTTGTCATGAGGTAGCACCGACTATTAGTAAAACAATAAATAAATTTGCAAATAATTTTCCAAATAAACTCGTTTTAGAACATTTGTAGATATGCAAGTTAATAATATACTATGTATTGATGTACATGCAACGGTAAATATACAGGTAGAATTAAAGACCAAAACCTTGTTGATAAACAACTGAAATAACTTGAAGCAAAATGGTCACTAAACAATCAAGCAAGGAAATACAGCAACAGAGATATGTTTGTTAACATTGATAATTCACATCATCATTTTAAGTACTGTGAGTTAAAATGCCCCATAATATAATTGTTAATCGTTAAACACCGACTCCACAAGTTCTGATCTGATCTGACCCCTGTTAATTCAATGCCTCCTGCTATTAGCAAGATCCTGTTGGATTATTTAGTATTTTAACTCACCTTTTTAACTGTAAGATTTCTGGATTTTATTTCCTCCATATCAATGACGCACCGAAGTCACATATATTAGTATAGGAACGTTAAAATGCACCGCAAAAAGCTACCTGAAGCTTTTCATTGGTGTAGACTACTATATCAACTTTATCAGTACATTCAGCATGAAAGGACACAAATATGAGACTGACAGTTTAAGCTTCGACAACCAATGATAAGTAAATGGTACATTTTTATAACCCTAAATATCTGTTCACCTGCAATAAAGCTAACAGTACTTACCACCAGACTCTAGTTATACCATTATAATAAAGCTAACAGTACTTACCACCAGACTGTAGTTATAAACCATTATGATTAAGTTAACAGTACTTACCACCACACCCTAGGTATACCATTATGATAAAGCTAACAGTACTTACCACCAGCCTCGAGTTATACCATTATAATAAAGCTAACGGTACTTACCACCAGACTCTAGTTATACCATTATGATCAAGCTAACAGTGCTTACCATCAGACTCTAGTTATACCATTATAATAAAGCTAACGGTACTTACCACCAGACTCTAGTTATACCATTATGATAAAGCTAACAGTGCTTACCATCAGACTCTAGTTTTACCATTATGATAAAGCTAACGGTACTTACCACCAGACTCTAGTTATACCATTATGATAAAGCGAACAGTGCTTACCATCAGACTCTAGTTTTACCATTATGATAAAGCTAACGGTACTTACCACAAGACTCTAGTTATACCATTATGATCAAGCTAACAGTGCTTACCAACAGACTCTAGTTATACCATTATGATAAAGCTAACAGTAGTTACCACCAGACCCTAGTTATACCATTATGATCAAGCTAACAGTACTTAAAAACAGACTCTAGTTATACCATTATGATCAAGCTAACAGTGCTTACCAACAGACCCTAGTTATACCATTATGATCAAGCTAACAGTACTTACAAACAGACTCTAGTTATACCATTATGATCAAGCTAACAGTGCTTACCAACAGACCCTAGTTATACCATTATGATAAAGCTAACAGTGCTTACCACCAGACCCTAGTTATACCATTATGATAAAGCTAACAGTACTTACCACCAGACCCTAGTTATACCATTATGATCAAGCTAACAGTGCTTACCAACAGACTCTAGTTATACCATTATGATAAAGCTAACAGTACTTACCACCAGACCCTAGTTATACCATTATGATAAAGCTAACAGTACTTACCACCAGACTCTAGTTATACCATTATGATCAAGCTAACGGTACTTACAAACAGACTCTAGTTATACCATTATGATCAAGCTAACAGTGCTTACCAACAGACCCTAGTTATACCATTATGATCAAGCTAACAGTGCTTACCACCAGACCCTAGTTATACCATTATGATAAAGCTAACAGTGCTTACCACCAGACTCGAGTTATACCATTATGATAAAGCTAACAGAACTTACAACCAAACTCTAGTTATACCATTATGATAAAGCTAACAGTACTTACCACCAGACTCTAGTTATACCATTATGATCAAGCTAACAGTGCTTACTTTGAAGGGGTTATAATCATGGTTTGTTCTCCTTTCTCCCACTTTTTTTCTGGTCAAAGGAATTATATAAACACTGGACAACAATAGATGTGTCATTATAGTCAGTTCTGGTATAGTACAGGTAGATTATTTTCCTGTATTTACCTGTTCACCAATGGGAAATACTGTGTTAGTTATAGGAATATTTAACAAATATATATCCTGATTTTTCGTAATATTTACTAGAATTATGAATCAATTTACACAATATTCCAGTTATTACTTAATAAAAACACATCAAAATACATTAACTGAAAATCTGCTTTTATTAATTTCATATTAAATCAATTTTATAATTTTTTATTATACATTTACATGTATGTTATATATAGATTTCATAAAATAGAACTAAATTTAGCTAGCAATGTATGACAAATATAATCAGTAAAGACAGATATCATGTATTATTATTAAATACCGGGGTATGCAAAAACAGATGCAAAGCTGGGAATGAAAATAAATAAAACGAATCAATTACATGTGCACATGGAATACTCAGCGCTGGTTGATCAAATCAATCATATTCATAAAATACACACATGCACAAAGATACATGATATAAAACTAATACAATAGCACTAACTTACTAAAGGTGAAATATTGGAAAGTCAATAAAAATCACAGATAAGTCCATGATTTTAAGAAATCCTAGCAAAGCACCAAATACAAATTCCATAACAAGCACATTTATCACAATGTCACTCTAAATGCAAAAGATTGGTTGTATATATTTGTGGATTTCACGTTACTGTTTTGTATGATCTAGCTGATGAATATGGTATATGATATGAAAAAATGTCTAAAAATGATGAAAATAGACTATATCAAAGCTACATGTATATGTATATGACAGTACTGCATACATGATACAGATAATGTGGGAGAACACAGGTAAAAACCAGGTAAAATACATATGAAACAGACTATAACTGCTATCACAACATTACTGCCTCTATGTTTTTTTTTAAAAAGTGGGAGAAAGGAGAACACACCATAATCATAAGCATGTGTAAATGTTGATTTCTGGTCCTTATAACCATTATGGTCAATATGTTTTTTTCAATCGGCACATCAACTAGTAGAAATGAAAATAAGTTTCATAGCCTGTGATCATGATACGGTGTACCAATTTGGGTACTCATCATGACGAAAAATTAGATGGAATCTCACTGCGAGTTAGGTGTTCTATTTTTAGAACAAATTACTAAGAATCTTTTTTTTCTCTGAAAATGAACCACCTTGGGCAGTCCTCGTCAAGAATCAATTCCAGATACAAGATCTGAGTTGTTAAATATTACCGATACACTGTCAAAATTGTACCAATTGTGTTAGCGTGACGTACTCTATATATTCCCATCGTACATGTGGGTATGAAATGACGGAAGTATTAACCCTCCATACATAAATGTAACTAGTCCACCTACAGTTATGCCCATGTATATAACGACCAGCATTCCATTGTCCAACATCTAGAATTTGTAATGTACAAAAAAAATTAGCCCTAATTATAAATTTTCCTTAGGTTAATATAATAATTTATCTTGACTTACTTTCAAGATCGCAGGGGTCATATATGTTAAAAACTTCAAAAGGTATCTGTTATATCTAAAAAATTGTGCACATCATTTTTCTAACCGATCATCATGTTTAGGTCAAACATATGCATAGAGAACTAATTGCCATGGTCAAATGTCAACATAGGTTATTCTTGTAAAAAAAAAACCAACATAGTGCTTCTGAAATCCTAGGAGTTCTAATTAGATATTTGATATAGATTTAATTAAGTTTGCAAACTTGTATGCTTATTTTACACATGATAACAGGCCAGGTGAGTAAACGACATCTTACTGTAAATTGAACAGCATAGATGGCTGAAATAAGGAAATACCTTGACATCATATTGCAAAGGGAGTGTAGAGAAGTCCAAGGAAATTCCCCAATAATGCGCAAATTTTTCTGTATTCTTAAGCTGTTTTAAAAAAATAATAGTCTTGATATAATATTTTATGCCACTTAATTTATCTGTCAATTGATAATTTGTTTAGATAGTTATTTATTTGCATGTTATATTATTAATCAGATGACTAGAAAGTAGGGTTGTCAAACCGGAAAAATTTCTGAAACCGGTTACTCAAAAAATCTTCCGACCAAGTAACTGGTTAAACGGTTAGTATGTTAATCAAACAACAAAAAACAATAAATACATTATATGTTTAGCAAATGTTCCATTTCCCAACTTTGCATTATGGCTTCCGTTTAAAAACTCTTCTGGCTTTTTATGGTGTGGTCGGCATCTCATTGTAAAACCTTACTATCAAATACAAAAACAACATTCAAACGTGTAGGCCTGAGCGTTGTTTTTATTGCCAAAAAATCGGATTTCGGTCTCATCAATAGGTATAAGCTAGGTAAACATGGAGCTCCCCATTGAGGTAAATAAATGTCCGATTATTCGGTTTCTGATTTTGGTAAACGGTTCACGATCTTCCGACCAAGTAACCGGTTAAAGGTTGACAACACTACTAGAAAGCTATAAACTTTTGACTCCATCTTGGTGTCTTTCTCAAGTTATGAATGGTTTTCATTGTTACTTTCTAGTTATCACATGACCCATAATGGACTTTGTTAAATGTCAAAATTTAATTGTAGATTGTCAGCAAGTGTCATTGTTCAACCCTTAGTGATACAGGGGTCTCCTGTGATTCTCTATAACCAATATGCTTTAACTTCATGGTTTTCCAGGGAGGAATTGAACCTGTTGATATGGCTGACAATTTGTCGCCACCAACATTTAGAAAGCATGAGGGTGACAGTGGTGGCAAGTTTCAAAATGAAAAACCTCAACCTGGATCTACACAAAATCAAGGTAAGTGATATTACTGTGATCATACTAGGTAATCACAAAAAAACACCTGGTTTCATTTTGCATTTCATTCTATCTGTAATTGTATTTCTGAAAGGAATGTGTAATAAAACAAATGTTTGAAGTTTTTATGAAAAATAAGCCTCTTACATGTTTATGATAGATAACAGTTCTAGGAAAAAGAAATCATTTATTCAGTAATTATTGATAAGGACATTTTTAAGGCTATTGATAGATAATGTTCATCAAAGTTTTCTATGTCACCTTTGTAGCTAATGAAGATTTCTCTGTGGAAAGAACTTGCACCATGGTAAAAGTGAAGATAGAGAAACTGGAAGATGAGGAAAAAGAGAAAATGAGCTTCTATCCAAAAGGGAACAGCATCCTTATACACTATCTCTGTAAGCATGATTTAGCAAATCTAGCTGCGGAACAGGGCTCGAATCTCATTCTGGAAAACAGGGACCAAAAACTTGTTGTTAAACTCCTGATTAAAAAAGAAATCCCAATTGAGAACTATAGAGATAAAGTCAGAGAGTTAATTGTTAAAACTCTTCCTAACTTACATCAAGAGAAATGCTACCTTTCATCTCTGAGCAACAAGGAACCAGCTAGCAACAAAGACCAAGGTTACAAGGATCCGCTACAACAAGCTCTTGCTTGTCTTGTTCCATTGATCAAAGCTGGTCAAAATCAGGCTGACGTTCTGTATGACAAGGATTTGAATTGTCTGATCATAACAGGCCCTACAGAAACTGTCAAACAGTTACACGTGGAGGCAAAGGTCAAGTTGTACAGCGTTACCATGGAGACAGTTTTAGAGTCTCCATCACAAGGATGTTTGTTGAGGACATTTAGAGTCATGGATCAACTGATAGCTCAGTACCATGGTCTCACAGCGGTTGTACGGGATTGCAACACAAAAGTAACATGGACTGGAACTGAAGAGAACATCCGACAAGGTCGACAAGAGATGGAGAAGTTTATTAGAGAGATTAAAACGGACACATTCTATGTTTCTATGGTGATGAAGAAGCTGCTGTTGACACCAGAGATAAAACACTACATTGATAGTATACTACAGAAAGACGGTATCACTTGTGTGTGGCAGGTCATTGAGACTGGACAAGTACAGGTTTGGTCAATGAAGGCTTCATCTTCCAAGCGTGTTGGGCTCAAAATTAGAGAAAATTTCAAAGAAGAGGCCTTCTTAGTAAAGGACTTTCCGTTTATTTCAGATGTTTCAAAAGTAGGATTTGGTCTCGGTACCGCAGAGATGAACAATTTTTCAGTGGAAGAGACCTCTGACACAGTCCACGTAGCTGCAAAATCTGGTACCATGCAAAAAATTATCCAGTATTTGCAAGATTTGGAGGATAAACCAACTCCTGGAAAACAGCCATCAGCCAACCAAGGTAACTTGAGAACAGAAAAAAACTTATAATACATATAGCAATATCTTTAATATAAAGGCAGGTCTGGACTGGGTGACCACCAGTGACAAGTATAGGTAGCTTTATTACATGGTCCAGAGTTCGAATTCAGGCCTGTAACTGTACATGTTGCAGTGATGTGTGTGTGTGAATCCAGAGTGTCCCTGCAGGTAGGGCGTAAGAATTGTCCCTGCTGCCCCCAATTGCATGATCGTAAGAGGCAACTAAATTTGGGCCCTTATCTCTTCTCTCCTTTCTAAATAACTTTCTTCTTCCTAGTGTCTCCCTTGACAATGCCTCACTTTTGGCCATTTGTTGAGCGTTCGCCCCTGAGAGGAAGGTTTTGGGTTCTGCCCCCTGGCCGAGACATACCAAAGTCTTTAAAAATGGTAGTTTCTACTCCTGCTTAACGCTCAGCAAATTAGGAGTGGGACGACTGGTCCGCCCGTTGTCAGTATAATGTGACTGGCTGGGGTGTCCTGCTGGGTGTCTTAGGCAGTATGTCTCAGTGAGGTAGCACTATAAACTCGGCATAAGTTCCGCGCTATCACAAGGAGACAAACACGAACATATCGCAGCCTCCCAAAATACACACACATACACTACACGCATGCATCTTGCACACAGGGGAGGCCGTCCTTAAATGACCTTAGCTGTTAATAGGACGTTAAACAAAATCAAACAAACAAACAAACGAATCCAGATTTTAAAAAAAATGTTGTCTTTGGACGCAAAAAATAGAAAATAGATGAAAGTGTGTAGTGAACTGGGCTTTGTGACAAATAGGGACCAGCTGTGAATAACTCGATCAATATGTTAAAGTTAGCTTGGGAGTGACTCCTCCAAAAGTACTGGACCAATTTCAATTATTACCTTCCTTATTTATGGAGTTATTCCCTAGTTGTTTAAAGAATTGTTTTGCACTACTCCTTCCAAAGAAATTCTCTGATTTGAATGACACATTGTACACACAACCCTTACAATGAAAGAATAAAGTATATAAATTGGAGTTACCTCACTCTATTTATGGAGTTATGGTCCCTTGATTAAGATTTTTTTTGCACATTTCTTTCCAAAGTACTGCACAGATTTGAATGATTCTTTGTACACACAACCCTTACATTGAGGTGAAATTAATTAAATAATCTGAATTAGAGTTGCTTCCCTTATTTATTGAGTTATGTCCCTTTGTTTTGGAACATTGTCAGGACTGCTAAAGTACTGCACCAACTCTAATGATACTGGGTACACCTAACACTTGTATAAAAAAATGCTTAAAACTGTTGTTCCAACTCTACCTTCTTACATTCTGCACTGGTTTAATAATGTCTCCCTTTCGATTGAAGGGAGAAATATTTTATTAGAACTCAACAGGTTCTTCTGTTTCTGGTTCTTGTTCTCTAATATGATCTTGTCTGGACTGTAACTTTTAAACTGTTAAAGATATATTGATGAAACTTGGAGTATACATGCATCACCCATAGACGATGTGCAGTGCACTTTCATTAGGTCACTGAGGACTTTACCTCAAGGTCAAAGGTACACAAATGTTTGATTGTTTCAAACTTTTAAAGGTGTATGCCAAGACGATGCCAACGATCCCTCACGTGCACTGTGTCTAGTTTTGCTTAAACTTAGTATGCAAGTTATGAAATGGCATTGTTAACTCTATCCAAGCATCATTTGCGACTATGGTTTCCAGTACAATTAGAACTTGTTCATATATATGCATTTAATAATTTAGCAGTAGGCAGTTCCTCTAATGAAAAGGTCACATAAAAATATAAGTGGTAAGTTAAAGATGTCCTGATAAAACCTGCAGTATATCTGCATTTCTATAACTTCTGCAATTATAACACACTTGTAAATAAAATTTGAGATATTTTTATTCACTCTAATTAGGATACTGTTGTTATAGCCTTTGAACACACAAAAAAAACCATTTCTTAATGCTGACCACTCTTACTAATTTCCTAGAGGGAGATAACTCCGAGAAGACAACAAGTGGCTGTACTATAGAAGTACGAGGAATGGACAAACTAACATCAAACGACACTGTAGAACTTTACTTTGAAAGCAAAAGAGCAGTGGGTCATCCAGTTGACATTGAAAACTTTGATGCATCAAAACGAGAGAAAGACGGTGTCATCTTCATCACGTATGAAAATGAGGAAGGTAATATATCTGTTACTGGTGGACAAGTGATCTATACAGCAGGTTTCACCCTTACTCATTCCATTTAAAATCAAAACAAAAACTTTTGCATTTTTATTTTCAAAAATAAAATGTTACAAATAAGCTATTTGTATATCCCCACTGACAAACTTTAGGTGAGTCATGGGACTTATACTGAATAACTATCCATTATTCTGTCTTTGAGCATTTTCATCTCAGGTCACTTTCAACTCTCTGCCTGCTATTGTTAATAACTTTACCTTAAACAAAGGTAAATACACCTTAAAACAAGTACGTTTTTGGGTTCATAGGTCAATGTACTTTAATATGCATTCTTACAGGTTCAATTTTGGTGAATTTCTCACCTACTCTTTAACTCTACTCATTTATGGGCCAAACACTCATTCATTCTGAGGCTAAATGTCAAGGTCACTTCACTCAATACAATTAAGTATTAAAATTCATTCTGTTTAGCGATATAGTCCAATAATTCTTAACCAAAAAATATGAATAATTGGCTTTGGAGCACTTAATTTGTCCTTTATGGCCACTGAAATGGTTCAGCTCCTTGCAAAGCATTTGGAAAAGGTGTTTTTGGCTACAATAACAGGTCTTGCCTATTTCAGATGCACAACTTGTTCTTGGAAGACAGCACACCTTAGACAAGTCTTCCTTGACTGTGAGATTGTTTGAGGCCCTGGAACCCGTAGCCGGTCTTTTATTTTACAAGGAAAAGGTTTTCTTCAGGAACATGAATCCTACAACGACACGAAAAGTGCTCGAGAATTTTCTGAAATCAAAAGTCAATGTGTCTCCATTAGAACTTTTATACGGAGAAGAGGAGGGTGCAGTCTTGGTTACATTTGATGGTGATCCAGGTATAAAACATTAGCCATCATAAGTCGATTTGTAATCATGATTAATACATTAGCAAAATATTGTGTTAAATAAATTAATGAAATACTCTCCTGGAACAAAGAGATTGGTAAGATTTTCAAAGATACTCTAACTGTCTACTGATAAGGTGAGATGTCATATCATGTAGCTTTTGTCATCCCCTCGTCAACAGTTTTCTTAATCTTAAACTTCTTCTGATAAACTGCTGAACAGAATTGCCCCAAATTATCAAATTTAATTAAAGTGTCTTTGGCTGGTAGGAATAGATGTATTTTTTTCCAGTAAGGGACGGGGGGGGGTGGGGGGGGGGCTAAGGTGCATGTCAATAAGGGGTAGTTTGGCAATAGGCAATATTGCTTCAAGGGGACTTCTCTGCTGGAACTATAAGATGGATATCAACCATGTTTGGTTGAAAAAATTCTCAGGTAGTGTGGATTCACCATTTTACAAGTGAAGGGACAGAGTAATTTGGATAAATTGGTATATTACTGACACTGACTTCTCTTCTGGAACTATGATATAGATCTCAACCAAATTTGGTTTGAAGCATTTTCAAGTGGTGGGGATTCAAAATCATTCTAACAAATTGGCTGATCAACTGGGGTCTGTATGAGGGCAAGGGTTATTCGGACATGTTGCTTTCAAGATCCTTTCTTTGGAGTGTGAAAAAATTATCAACCATTCTCGGTTGCAAGCATTATCAGGCCATTTCAAATCCTTACCTCAATATTTGAACAAAATAGGAACACAATTGTGCTATCAAAATGGCCTTAGGGGTTTGTTCCCTCTAGAACCCCACTATACAAGCATTGCTACAATTACTGGGAATGACAAACCACGTACAGTTATGCTACCAGGATTGGACCTGGAGTCCGGCCATGCCCCTTAGGACTATATAATACAAGGTGACTGATACAAGCCTCTTGTTAATAAGTTGGTTACCCTATTTTAAGAGAAGCCTTCATTACAGACATAAATCTGTCCAAACAGCAAATTCAGATAAAATTAAAAATAGCACAACGGTACATGTCTTTTTCATTTCCTTCTTTAATGTTTTAATAGTCTGAACAAATTCTGACTAAATTCTCTTTAGATTTTGAAAAATTGAAGAATGCCTGTCAGAATTCAACATTGGAAAACTGTTTGCTGGAGGCGATGCAGGTGCCAATATCTCACAGTGTCCTTGTCAGTGGGGTCGGAAAAGGTACAAGTCTGGACACCTTGGAATTTTATTTTGAGAATAGCCGCAGAAGCGGTGGTAGTGATGTCACTGAGGTCAAGGAGATATCTGACGGATACTTTCACGTCACTTTTGAAGATCCTGGAGGTAAGGTTACTACACGCAATGTAGATAAAACGTAGTATATTTGACCTAGTAAGTGTTCTCTACATCTTTTTCTCGTCAGTGTCCAATCCTTTCACAATAGCTGTAATTTACTTTCAATATTTGAAGAAAAATTTTTGATTTCAGTGTTTTATTTAGTGCTGTAAGTGAGAACCCAGCTGGTACCCAAATATGGGCAGTTTTGATAGAAAAACCAGGTTTGAACGCATACTCTAATTATATAAAACTCATCTTAATAGAAATCTCCCTAACAGCGCCTGTCTCAACAAAGTAGAGGAATGAAACCATCTAGGCCAGGTTTTTTTTTAAACTTGCAAGAGATGAACTCTGTATTCTTGCAGAATTTAATGATTCAACTTTTTTATCCTGGTGGGCAAATCAAATCACTCTTCATCCGCGGTCCATCCTTAAACAATTCCCGTTAGCACTATTTTCATAAAGCACTGACAGGATCTTTCTCAAATTTCAGATGTAGGTTCCCCATGATCCTTTGTTATTCATATCAAAGTTTGAGACTGATTGCAAAACCAAAATGGCCAACAGGCAGCCATCTTGAATGTGATAGTTAAAGTTTGTAAGCAATACTTTTCAGAAAGTACTCAAATTTCACAGACTGATCAGAAGAACAAGATTGCTCCCAGACAAACTGAACAGAGAAAAGATAAGAGGGAAGAAAATAAAGATTGAACTGACATAGACTTAATGAAGACAGTACAATATAGTTGGCACCAAGATCCCTCTTGGATCTTTTGTTTCTTGGAGTTAAGGCCCTTGAAGCTTTTAAATTTCTGCTTCAGAAGCTAGTGTAGGTGTGGGGGGGGGGTATATCTTTGTGAGCTCCCTCAAAGTTTCTCTAGTTCTCTAGCCCCAAAGGGCCATGTGAGCTAGCCTGTACTGCAGTGTCTGAATGTTGTCTGTCTGTCTGTCAACTTTTCCTTTGAACGACAACTTCTGAAGAACTGGAAGACTTAGGGTCATGATATTTGGCCAGTAGGTACCTGGGTTGGGGTGCTATCAAGTTGTTTCATTAAAAAGACCTTGACCTAGTTTCAAGGTCACAGGGGTCAAATATGTTTAAAAATTCAAGCAACAATATCCTTAGAACCATTTGGACTAGAGTCCTAATACTTAGGTATGTTATGTAGACTAGCTGTGTGAATCTTTTTCTGTATTACAGTAATTAGGTCAAAGGTCAACTTTAAGTGCTAGTCGTGGGGTCAAAGGTCAACATGGGTTAAAAAGCTGTAAAAATCTTCTTCTCAAGCTCCATAAAGCCCAGGGTCATGATATTTGGCCAGTAAGTACCTTAGGAATAGAGTGCTATCAACTTTCTTCATTAAAATGACCTTGACCTATTTTCAAGGTCACAGCGGTCAAATATAATAAAAACTTCAAACAACAATATCCTAAGAACCATTTGGACTAGAGTCATGATACCTGGTTATGTTATGTAGACTAGCAGTGCAAATCTTTTTTTTTATTACAGTTATGAGGTCAAAGGTCAACTTTAAGTGCTAGCCGTAGTCAAAAGTCAACATGGGCCTCTTGTTTTGTTAATATATAACCAAACTTGAATCCACATGGAAGCTTGTTTTAAGTTGAAATTTCAAAGGTGTGTAACAATAGTAATGATTCTAAACTAAATTTTAATCTGTTAAACATTTCTGTTGCAGTGTGTTATGCATATATGTTTGTCAAACAAAATCAATTTCCTTACAGTGATAGACAGAGTCTGCCAGAGAACACATAAATTGGATAGGAAAACACTCACTGTGCAGACTTACCATGAAATGCTGGGCCACAGGGTCAGCCACACAGGACCGACCTTTAAGGTTCCTTGCCCCTTGGTTATCAAAGATGCTGACCAAAATAAAGTCCAGCACCTCATGTCATATGACATGACAAAACTGGAAAAACAGTTAAGTGACCATCACGCAAAACTACATTGGCCAGGAGACATTCCCGGGCACCTGAAGCTGGAGTGCCTGTTAACAGAGGATGTGGTGGATGGCAATAGACTTGTCATTTCCTGGGAGGAGGTGGTTCGAAATATTCTGAGCAATTTTCTGGCTCAGGCAGGGGTAAGTACACTGATACAAGTATTTAAAATCTAGAAAGGACTTGAAAGTTAAATATTAAGAGTTATGTTTTTAGAAAGAGAAAGCTCAAAGCATTCTAGATTTTATTCAAGGAATTTGCTTGGACATTCCTGGCATTGTGTACATGTAGCACAAGTTTTGTATTCCTCATCTGAAGCTCCTACATTGTAGTTTCACTTTCTGTTTTAAGGTAATTGATGATTTTTTGCCGGGATTCTATTCCCATCTTTCATTCATGCTTATCAATTTACAATAATCCTAGACTCATTCATTTTGTCCTTCCAAACCAAATAAAATTCAGGGATAACAGGTACACAATGAAATTCAAAAGATTCATTCTATTAACTTCTAATTCATTTTGATTTAAGATTTCATCTTTTGTCCAAAAGCGAAGGCTTTCATAGCTCTTATATACCAGTTCTTGTTATCGCTTTTTCTTAGAAAGTGCCGAATATAAATTGAGATACCTGAGATTGTTTGAAAACTTGTGACTGCCATTTTTCTTATTGGTGATGTAGACAACAAAAGCTCAAGTTGCCGTGAGATCTCCAGATGTCACAGGATCAACAAAGGACTCTTCAGCAATTGCAAAGGTTTGTTTATTTAGATGACCATGAGTCGGGTAACATTACTGCAGAACTAGTTTGAGGTCTTTAACTTTGCACCCGGTGCAGGCTTGGGTAAAAAAAATTAAGATGCTTAACTGTTTTAAACAGTAAAATTATTTGAGGCACATTTCCACACAAAAAGGGGCTTTTTACAGAATTCCAAACTAGTATGCTGCTCTCTCTTGACCTCAAGGTCAAAGGTCAAATAAGTGCAAATTTCTAAGGAGAATTTTGTCCAAGCCCTAACATTTGTAAACCGTTAAAGATATCTTGATGAAACTAAGTGCAGTTTACATGCATCACATACAGACGATGGTAACGGTTCTGCAACTGTTGGCAATGATGCTGCAATCATATTACCAGTTACAAAGCATGTGAATGTTTCATGCTTATTGAGTAAATGAAAAAGCAGTAAAAAAAATCTTTTTTACATAGAGATTAATTTGCTGAGGATTTCTTTACCATTGGACATAACAATGTGATAACTTTACCCCTTTGTGATGAGATGTTATACAATGAAATGACAAAGAGACTTTCCCTTATTGGTGTGTCTGTATGATAGAACTGAACTGGGTAAGAAAAGAGGCATAGGAAATAAGAATATTGTGAATCAGACTATGTTTGAATACTTGACTCAAAATACAAACACTTTTATATTGTAGAAGGACAGGGACCTGAACAAAGTCGATTACACCAGGGATCATTTCAGCTCTCCACACGATGACTCTGAATATGTACCAGATATCAGTATTGTAATGCCAAAAGAAACCTTTCTGGCTCTTCAGTTTTTCTGCTGTAGAGATGGAAAAATGGATCAACAAGCTGTGTGTTACAGAGGCGGCATGCTCCAGGTATCTTTCAAGGAAAGGAGTGATAAGAAGGCCATGCAAATTAACATTGAAAGCAAGTTGAAGCATTTAGAGATAATGAACAAAGATGATGTCTCTTTCACGCCAGCTGAGGAACCGAATGTCAAAGGAACTATCGAACAGATTCACAAGTCTGTTGATGGAGTTTTCTGCTATCAACTTGAAAAAGATGAACACAGCATGGTCCATTTAATGGCTCAATCCTACGGTCAGCTACAGACAGCAAAGCACAAGATCTCATTGGGATTAGGCAGATTAAAACAGACAGAAACAAAGAGAAATCGGCGGTTTGACAACACACCACTTCAGCAAAATAAAGGGGACAGCACTTCGACAGATAGACACAGATTCAGTCAGTCATTCACTGCGAGCCAGTCACCATGGCAATCTCAATCTATATCTGGTTATGGTAGTGTTAGTCCTAAAGACTTCACTACACCAGAAGGACTGTTAGTACGAGTTTATCCTGGCAGTATCCTTCGTCTTGACGTGGACTGTATTGTAAACGCTGCCAATGGTGATTTACAACATGGAGGGGGAGTGGCCTATGTGATATCTAATGCGGCTGGTTACGACTTTGAGCGGGAGGGTAGGGACTACATAGCCAGGTATGGACCCCTGAGAGTTGGAGAGGTGTGTACTACCACTGCTGGTAACCTGAAGTACAAGGGTGTTATCCACAGTGTAGGTCCAAGGTGGTACGACTATGGTCAGGACCAGAAGCAGATATGTCTGGAAGATTTAAAGACTGCTGTCAAGAACAGTTTGGAGGAGGCAGACTTCCAACAATACAAGTCTATAGCTATACCTGCCATCAGTTCAGGTAACTCTATATATACTGTACAGATGTAAAAATCATTAATGAACTCAAAATGAAATGTCACTTTTAAAAATTAGATATTTTTTTGAGGAATAATTGAAATATAGATTTATCTTATAGGAATACCGCTTACTTTATAAAAAGTTCACATTAATATAAATCTTAAACTACAAAGCATTGAATGAAGTTCACAAAAATGTTTACTAATCAATTAATAGATTGTGACAGAAACATATCTGGTAATAACAGAACTATTCATACAGAAAGCTTATTGTACATAAAAATCAATAATGTTACTCTAAAAAATTGATTAATTATTCATTCCATCAGTCAGCAACTAATATGATAATTCAGGACTCAGTAAAGTTGTAATATCTAAACGAAGATCACGTACTAATCACCATTTACTCACCATGCACACAGGTATATTTTCGGTTCCAAAGGAACACTGTACCCAACAGTACTACCGAGCAGTAGAGGAGTACAGTAAATCAAGACGGAGTCGCTCGACCTTGACCGAGGTACACTTCATTGACAAGGACACACAGATGTGTGATCTGATACAGACGACCTTCACCAAATGTTTTGCTGGAAATGCTGGGTCAAGTAGCTATGGAGCTGGCACTGGAGGTGGAAGCAATTTCTCATCGTCTGTTATGTCTCTGAGGAAAACTACCCCAGTTTTACAAAGGTTCAGAAGTGTATCTGCAGATGGAGATGGATCATCTGTAGACCCAGCGAGTCCATCCTGTATAGATAAACATATGAACTTTCAACGTTCAACATCCAGTGGCCTACGTTTTAAGTATCAGATAGGGAATAATTGGATTGCACACATTGTCCATGGAAATATTGTGGAGATTGAGGCTGACGCCATTGTCAGTCCCGAGAATGTCCAGTGTGACAGTACAGGAAGTATTGCCAGGGAAATCGCTCGAGTAGCTGGACAAGATATAGATAAAGACCAGTCAGAGCTAAAACTTATTCGCAGAAAACCAAAGCTAACTGAGGTACTTGAGACTTTAGCGGGTCGATCTCACTTTAAGTATGTGTTACATGTGGTTGCACCTAAATGGGATGTCACTGCCGTCGCAGACCAGAGTAGTTACTGGATGAACCTTGAAAAATCTTACAAAAACATCTTCTCAAATATTGATGAGAAACATCTGGATATTACATCTTTAGCATTACCAATTCTTGGAACTGGTAAGAAAGCATATTTCTTATTATTTCTAACTTGATCCAGGATCAATATAAGATATAAGGACTTTCGGTATGTTGTCAGATTATTTTTGTGGAATTCTTTTCTTTACCATTTCACAGTAACATTGTTTAAGTCTCAATTTTCACAAAATAAGTCATGGTACATACATATGCAATTGTGTACTTTGTTAAAATCTCTAATGTACATATTTATAGTATTTTTTTGTCAACAAATTTATACAATTTGAATTAATACAAATGTTGTGACCTTTGAAATTACAATGTTTCTCACATTTTAGATCATATTGAAATAGCTGACAAATTTTAACTCAAGCTTCTTTTGAATTCACAGAAAAACATACATTCATATTTCTCTTGAAATGTTCCCAGCCTGTGTGTTAAATTTCTGATACATACATACTATTAAAGATACAGTAGGTCAGTACCCAGTGAGCTTTAATGAGGCCCATGGGCTTCTTACTAGTTACCTCTACTAAATTGGTTCAGCCACTACATGGACTATATCAATTCATTTATTAATTATAATTCTGTCAGAAATTTTGACAGGATATATTATGGTATGGGAAATTGAAGCATCCATCAAGCATAACTTGCTTAAGTATCATTTAATTTTGATTAAACTTTATATGCATGTACATTATATGAACACCTAATCCAAAGGACCAAGGTGTGCTAATTCAATACCGCCCCATCAGACATCTGTCTATTCATCCGTCTGTCCATCAACAATATCTCTAAATGACTTCTTCTCTTAAACCACTGGTTGGAATTTAACAAATTTAACTGGGAGCATCCCTAGGTGCTGAGGATTCATAATTGTAGAAATGGAGGGACTGACTCCCTGGGGAGCTTAGGGGCTTTGTCAGAAAGGGTTAATTTAACCATACTGCTTTAAGGGACTTCTTCTTTGGAAGTAAAAGGATATCAACCATATCTGGTAGGAAGCATCCTTAAGTCATGGGATTCAAACCTGTACAAAAAGATGGGATGGCTTCCTGGAGGTCTGAGGGACAAAGCCAAAAAGCCATATTGCTTTAAGCAACTTCTTCTCTGGAACTAAGAGAAGGATATCAACTAAATTTGACTGGAATTGAAGTATATCAACGCATTTGGTTGGAAGCATTCTCTAGTTGTGGGGATTAAAAATTGTACAATGGGAAGGGCTGACCAAGGGGCTGAAGGGTTGGGCCTCAAAGAGATTTTAACTTGGAAATGATTAATATCTCCACCCTATAACCATATATTCAATTTCTGAGAAAAAGACAAATACACATCTAGTTCCAGGATTGTTCATAGGTCTGGCCCCACCCATGGAGTCTTAGTCAGAGGGTCATCATTTTGAAATGGTCGAGATCCCCACCCCATTTCCATATTTATAATTGCTAGGCATAAGGAGACAAACTCAATCATAGTATTAGAATTGACTGTGGGGTCTGGCCCCACCCATGGAGACTTAGTTTCTTGGCCATAACTTGAAAACAGTTGAGATCCCCACCCGATAACCATATATATATACACACTTGCTGTGCATGAAGAGACAAACACAATCATGATATTAGAATTTTCCTAGGAGTCTAACCAAACCCGCAGAGACTTAGTCTGTGGATCGAAATGGTTGAGTTTCCAGTTGAGTACTTGAGTACAGAGGGACTTAATCCTCGATTGAAACTTATGAGACCTCCACCCAAAGTAACAAAAATTACAATAGCTGAGCGTGAAGAATGGATAAGGCTTTGCCCCGGGGAATGGCACTATCCTTAGGAGTTAATATGTGATATTTGGCATACAAAATGAGAATATGATGATCACCATACCATTACTTAAATATCAAGGTGAGCAATACAGGCCCTCTGGGCCGCTTGTTTAAAAGTCTTAAAGGATACATGATCTATATATATTCCTTCAGCTTATTTTGGTTAAGTACAGTATGTTTTCTCTACCTTTCACCACATTCTAGGAATAGTTCTCAACTTAACTGAGTTATACAGTACAAATGATGTTTCTTCTCCTTATATTTCCATATTTTAATACATCTAGGTACAATAATGCATCAGACGGATTTTAAGTATGTCAGATTGGCAAATGACGTGTGTATATTGTTATGCCCTATGACACTCTTGTTAAATTTAAGAAGTTGGAATATCTCTTGATATTCATATTTTGCTTGAAATATAAACATTTCCCTTATTAACAGATAGAGTTAAGGAATTATCCTACTCCAATTTTAACTATCGGGAGAATAATGGTTAAGACCTTGTCCAAGAAGACTCGGTATATCTGCAATGTTGATCTGGCCGTGATTCAAAAAGTAACATCTCCTATTTATTTTACCAACAGGTGCTGTTGAAAAAAATGCTACTCCAATTAACAGTATCTGCAGATTGATAGCCAACGTTTGTAAAAAGTATGCAGCGAAGACTCCATCAAGGAAAACACTGTGTTTCTGCAATGATGAAACTGTAGCTGTACTTGCATTGAGGTATGCTTTTGAAAGAGTCTTCAACAAAAGCAGTGATGGATCAGAGGATGTTAAGAAGGGTCACACTGCCCCTGACATGACTGGACGTACCCGAGGGGCAGGTTCGGAGGTCACAGAGAACTGCTGTATCTGTATTGACACTATGACTGATGAGCCTAAGAAGCTGTCGTGTGGTCACATGTTCTGTAGAGAGTGTATAGACCAGCAGTTTAAGTACAAACCAGCCTGTCCCCAGTGTGGAGCTGTTCATGGGAAGATCACAGGGGACCAGCCACCGGGGACGATGACCATGACTACCACCAAGTCGTCTAGGCGAGGTGGCTCCCTGCCTGGCCATGAAGGATATGGTATCATCAACATCAGCTATCACTTCCCTCCAGGGAAACAAGGCGTGAGTATGACTCAAACTGGAGTAATTTCTATTCTTTAGAGCTTTATCTAGGAAGTATAGATATTATAAAAATAGAAAACTGATTTTTAAATCTTGATATAGGAGCGGCATTACCGTATGGGTTAGCCTTTTCTATCCGTAAGTCTACTCATCTGTACATATTATGGTTAGATTTTGCATTTGACTCCTTTACCCTAATACTAAAAGTCCTAAACTTATTAAACTTCATATATATAGATACACATCGAGGAGTACTACACTTAAATGTTATTTTTAGGTCACTGCTACTCCTAGAGAGATAGTTAGGAATGTTGACTATTACTTCAGATAGGGAGTGAGTAACGACTATTGAATAATACTTCTGATAGGAATTAGTTTGATCTATTGACTATTACTTCTGTTAGGGAGTTAGTTAGGACTGTTGACTATTAACTCTGATAGGGAGTTAGTTATGTCTATTGACTATTATTAATTCTGATAGGGAGTTAGTTAGGACTTTAACTAGAACTTCTGATAGGGAGTTAGTTAGGACTTTTGAACATTAAATCTTGATAGGGAGTTAATTAAGACCATTGACTATAAGTTCTGATAGGAAGTTAATTATGTCTTTTGACTATTAGTTGTGATAGGGAGTTAGTTATGTCTATTAACTATTACTTCTGATAGGGAGTTAGTTTGGACTATTGACTATTACTTCTGATAGGGAGCTAGTTTGGACTCTTGACTATTAGTTCTGTTAGGGAGGTAATTATGTCCATTGACTATGAGTTCTGATAGGAAGTTAATTAAGACTATTGACTATTAATTCTGATAGATAGTTAGTTTGGACTATTGACTATTACTTCTAATAGGGAGTTAGTTAGAACTGTTGACTATTACTTCTGATAGGGAGTTAGTTAGGACTTTTGACCATTAACTCTGATAGGGAGTTTGTTAGGACTTTTGACCATTAAATCTGATAGGGAGTTAATTAAGACTATTGACTATAGTTCTGATAGGGAGTTAAATAAGACTGTTGACTATTAGTTCTGATAGGGGGTTAAATAAGACTGTTGACTATTAGTTCTGATAGGAAATAGTTAGGATTGTTACCTGACTCTCTATATGAGAAGTGATAAAACAAGTTTTGACTATCTTCATAGTGAAAATAGCGTTATTCATATACAGCCATGAATTAGTCGAAACTATTTTCATGGGAAGCTCTCGAACTAACACACATTTCCTTAGCAAAGAACGTGCCCAAGCATGTATTTGATCTCGATTAAAGTGCTCAAGAAATATCAGAGCAGCTAGGGTTTACTGGAATTAGTTGGAAACGGATTCTTGTAATACCAAAAATGTAATAAAGACTGCGGTAAAAATTCTAACGGCATATTGCGATGTGAAGGAATCTCCATTGATGTACTTGTGTTGCATTTTGTCATGTGTATACAAATGTAGTCAATACAGATAATTGTAAGTAACAAAACAGTTAATTCATGCCCTTTAAGTCAATAGTCAAAACTGTTTTCTCGAGGTGTTGGGACCAACCTGGTGAACTTTGTCCCGAGGCCGTAAGTAAACTATTGACTATTACTTCTTATAGGGAGTTAGTTTGGACTGTTGACTTATTCTGATAGGGAGTTAGTTAGGACTGTTGACTATTACTTCTTATAGGGAGTTAGTTAGAACTGTTGACTATTACTTCTTATAGGGAGTTAGTTAGGACTATTGACTTATTCTGATAAGGAGTTAGTTAGAACTGTTGACTATTACTTCTGATAGGGAGTTAGTTAGGACTGTTGACTTATTCTGATAGGGAGTTAGTTTGGTATGTTGACTATTACTTCTTATAGGGAGTTAGTTAGGACTGTTGACTATTACTTCTGATAGGGAGTTAGATAGGACTGTTGACTATTACTTCTTATAAGCAGTTAGTTAGGACTGTTGACTTATTCTGATAGGGAGTTAGTTAGGACTGTTGACTATTACTTCTTATAGGGAGTTAGTTAGAACTGATGACTATTACTTCTTATAGGGAGTTAGTTAGGGCTATTGAAAAAGTTGGTACAACCCTGACAAAATCATGCTTGTTCCTCAACTGCTTTCCTATGTTTGTAGCCAGATCATCCTACACCAGGTAAATACTACCAGGGTATCACCAGACCTGGGTTTCTTCCTGACAACAAGAAAGGTCGTCTTGTGGCCAGATTGTTAAAAATAGCCTTTGACCGGAAGTTGGTGTTCACCATTGGAAGCTCAAGGACAACTGGGAATGATGGGGTTGTGACCTGGAATGACATTCACCACAAAACAAGTATTGACGGGGGCCCAGAAGCGTAAGCTTACAATATCACATTATAAAAAGTCTATGTATCTAATAAGTGATAGCTATACATTATCTATTAATTAACGATAGATTCTGATTTGTTCTGGATATATTTCACTACTTAAATAATAGTGTTATGCTTTAATTATAATATAACAGTTCTGAAATTCTGAAGCATTCTAATGATAAAGTGATGGATTTAAAAATATGTTTCAGACTTAGTTTGGGCTTACAATAAGTGGCTCCGTTAAGTCTTACTACCATAACATTTGATGCTATTAGACTAAGGATCCTCATACCTCTTCCAAGTCTTTACTTACATTGGAAGGTTTTTGTTTAAACTGTAGATTTGATAAATGCTTTGTAAAAGAAAAACCATATGTACCTTGCAGGCCTTTTATGATAAAATAATGGAGATGAAATAAAAAAAAAATAGCAAATTATGTTCTCTTTTTAAAACGTGTTTTCTGTAGCTTTATTTAATTTTGTTTAAGGTATGGATACCCGGACCCAAGCTACCTAGATATGGTGTTGTATGATTTGAAAACCAAAGGAATCACAAAAAAGTCCCTCGATGAACAATGAGTATGGAGCTTGTGGAAAATATTTAATTGTCTCCCAAAGCACAAGTGTAAATATTGGTTCATTCTACCATACAATTGAAATATTTATTAACAGGAAAACCATTAAATCAACACAAATCATATATTTTTACATCAGAAAACTGCCAGAAGTAGCAATATTTGATGCCAGGTTCTAGCGATGTCAAATTTGACCACAAGGCATGCGCAGAGCACCTTTTTGAATGGGTTATACTCAACGCAATTCTGCCATTTGCTGCTATCACTGATATATGGTAATATTAACAAACAAAAATAATATCAGTTGTGTAGTGTTTTGTAAATACGAGATTGAATATGTTGCAAAACAACCACTTATTCTATTGACAATGAAGGTGGTCATCTGCACTTCAAACTGAAAATCTACGCAGTGAATATAAAGTACTGCTCTGATTGGACAAAACAAAAAGTATGTGAAGATATAGTATTTCATGTATATTTTCACTGCAGTGAAGATATAAGTTTTTATCAGATTGATAATTCCTGGTATTTCATTGATAAAAATATAATGAAAGGATTTTTCTGTAGTTATTGGGTCAGGTACGTACCCAATGTAAAAATAGATCCCATTGATTGGTTAATCATGAAACAGCTATATCTTGTTAACACCTTTATTCACTAAGTTAATCTTTGAATATAACATGAGCATGCACTAGACAAAACTATTTAGCACATAGTGTTGTCAAGAAAAATGACAACTTACATTTTTTCAGCAGGGGTAAAAGTTTAACTTGAACATTGTCTTGAACAAACTTCTTCTTCAGTTCTGCCAGTCCAGTATGAACCAAAAAGGTGCAAATATTCTCTAGGTGATCCTTTTGAACTGTTGATGATTTTCAATGGCATCAAAATTCCAAAATGGCCACCATGAGCTCTGATTGGAAATGATATAGAGTAGGGCCACAGAAACCTTACCCTCAAAAACTTTTTTTCAAAATATATGTCAACTTCAAGTTTAATTATATAAATAGGCTAAAATATTGGCAACAAACAGTGAAAAGCCTGTCAAATTGTCTTTAACAATTTCAAGCTATCACATATTATTTTATATTAATGCACTGTAAAAAAGTCTGCATAATTTTATAATTTATTACTTATTTTAGTTGTTTTCACTTTTATTTTATTATTATTTTAGCATTATTACTTTATGCTCAACAATGTGAGATTCGGCCAGTGACCACTTGCTCCCTGGACAAAAAGTGAAATCTTTTCATAGACTTTACCCCACATTTGAGATATGGAATGAGGGAGAGATCCTTTAGTTGAGGTTTCAGAGGTTGACATCTATGATTGAAGGAATTCACGGACATCCTTGTATCATTCAAGGTTGTAAAATATTGACTACAATAGATACTTGTCTGGTGTATGTGGCTATTAAATAAATTATAATTCAAAAGAGCTCATATTTATATAGTTGGCTTGATTTCCAGAGTTTGCGGCATATATTTTTTTTATCAATTAGTTGCAAGTCGGTGGACAATACTGTATTTACTTAAGGTTATATTGTACATTTGTGATATGTGTCATTATCATATTCTGTGCATTTTATATTTGTGACATAATAGAGTTATCTCCCATACATATAGTACCTGTGATTTTTGTCGCTGTGCTTTTGTAATTTGTGAAAGAGTTAAAGTTATATGCTACCTTATACATTATACCTGTGATTTATGTTAAAGTTCAGTTTATATGGTACAATACATAATACACCTATGATTTGTATTAAAGCGAAGGTTATGTGCTACATTAAACATTACCGGTTTTCATGTAATTAATGTTCAAGTTAAGGTAATATGCTACCTTATACACTAATTGCCCTGGTGTGAGGGATACCTGAAAAGTTGTTTCCCCGAGATAAATCATGTTTCCCGAGAGCGAAGCCCAAGGGAAACATGATTTGTCGAGGGGGAACAACTCTTCAGGTCTCCCTCACACCAGGGCAATAACTGTTTTATTATTACGAAATTCCATCTGTGGAGTCTGTATTATGCAACACATATAACAAAAATAAATCAACATTAGGCAATGTAACGAGCCCCTGTGTTCTCACTGTTGTGACTGACTGTTCGCCCTTATTTCCTACATTAAACATTAAACATGTAATTTATGTTAAAGCTAAGGTTATATGCTACCTTATACATTATACTTGTGATTTGTATTAAAGCTAAGGTTATGTGCTACATTAAACATGTAATTGATGTTAAAGTTAAGGTAACATGCTACCTTATTCATTATACCTGTGATTTGTATTAAAGCTAAGGTTATGTGCTTTAAACATTAAACATTATCCATGTAATTTATGTTAAAGTTAAGGTAATATGCTACCTAATACATTATACCTGTGATTTATGTTAAAGTTAACGTTATATGCTACCTTATACATTATCCATGTAATTTATGTTAAAGTTAAAGTTATATGCTACCTTATACATTATACTTGTGATTTGTATTTAGGCTAAGGTTATGTGCTACATTATACATGTAATTGATGTTAAAGTTAAGGTAACATGCTACCTTATACATTATACCTGTGATTTGTATTAAAGCTAAGGTTATGTGATTAGACATTATCCATGCAATTTATGTTAAAGTTAAGGTAATATGCTACCTAATACATTACACATGTAATTTATGTTAAAGTTTAGGTTATATGGTACCTTATACATTACACATGTAATTTATGTTAAAGTTTAGGTATATATGGTACCTTATACATTAGACTTGTGATCATTACTGTCCATCAGGTTCCTTGGACATTACTGGATACATGCATATTTCTTGGTTGTATCAAAGTTTATATCTTAGCTTCATTATGTTACAATGTATGTTGTTAAATCTTTATCAAGTCAAAATATTTACATCATGTGAAAAGATCAATAAATTATGTCAAAACCTCCATCATCTACGAAATCCCAGCGCCAGGGTATAATGCTCTCTTGTGAAGTCTGCCTCCAGGAATATGTCATGAACGAATCAAAGGTTCTGTACACGTACAGGCCACCTTGTGAACTCTTCCCCCAGGAATATGTCATGAACGAATCAAAGGTTCTGTACACTTACAGGCCACCTTGTGAACTCTTCCCCCAGGAATATGTCATGAAAGAATCAAAGATCTGTACACGTACAGGCCACCTTGTGAGCTCTGCCCGCAGGAATATGTCATGACCGAATCAAAGGCTCTGTACACGTACAGGCCACCTTGGGAGCTCTGCCCCCAGGAATATGTCATGACAGAATCAAAGATCTGTACACGTACAGGCCGCCTTGTGAGCTCTGCCCCCAGGAATATGTCATGACAGTACCAAAGATCTGTACACGTACAGGCCACCTTGTGAGCTCTGCCCCCAGGAATATGTCATGACAGTACCAAAGATCTGTACACGTACAGGCCACCTTGTGAGCTCTGCCCCCAGGAATGTGTCATGACAGAATTAAAGGTTCTGTACACGTACAGGCCACCTTGTACATGATACAAATAGGCTAGTTTAATCCTTTGATGCATGTTAAAAGAATTGCATGGAAGTGTAATAGTAATTCACTGGCTTTGAAATTGGTTGTTGCTCCTCTGTATTCTTCCAGTGACAGGTACCAGCATAGTGATTGGTCAAGTTAAAAAAACAACTGACCAATCAAATAATATTGACAGATGGGTCAAGTTAAAAAAACAACGGACCAATCAAATAATATTGACAGATGGGTCAAGTTAAAAAAACCCTGACCAATCAAATAATATTTACTGATGGGTCAAGTTAAAAAACACCTGACCAATCAAACAGTTAGCTGCATGCCTTTAATTTTGCAATGACATATTCCAGGGGTGCATAGAGTGAAAGTGAGCGTAACCACTGGAGTATCAAGGATGGTATCATGTATGCTTATACAAAAAGTAGGACAAGACGTTTCTTATGGAATGTCATTGGTTTCCAACTTAAAAATTATGATGTCACGATCATGATAACATTAACATGTGCATTTACAGCCTTTATGAATGCCATCTGTATTTGGTAGGGTTCTATGATGTCAATGCCAAACATGCAGTGGTAAATGTAGAAGATAATAATGTACTTTATTTTGTTGACCTTCAATATTTATGCAAGTAGATCATATAATGTAAATGGATAATTGTTTTTAAATGCTGTAAAATTTTCTTGTGACTTGCATGGCAATCATAAAAAAGAAAATCCTAATAATCCATCTGTAATATAGAACCCAGACATTTTCGCACGATAAAAGCATCAGCAAAAATGTATGAAAGATATTTGTCCCAATTAAATCAATAAGATGCAGAACAGAAGTAAGATATGATTCGACAGAGAAGATAATATCATATTATAGAGAAAAGTTACTTTTTAAGATGGAATTATATTTGTTTGTGAATGTATGAAAATCATAAGAAATAAATGTATCAGTTCAAGAAACTTTTACTTGATGTTGTAATCTGTGTGTCTGATCTTATGCCATGGTGCGGTGTCCGTCATCCGTCGACCGTTGTCCGTCTCTCCGGCTTCAACTTTTTACTTGAAACAACTTCTCTTCAGTAACCAAAAGGCCTAGGATGATATTTGGCCAGCAGCATGCTGAAGTCAAGGGCTACCAAGTTGTTCAAATGAATGACCTTCATCCATTTTCAAGGTCACAGGGGTCAAATATGTTATAATCTTTGAACGACTTCTTCTGAATAACCAAGAGGCCTAGTGTAATGATATTGGGCCAGTAACATGCTGGGATGAAGGGCTACCAAGTTTGTTCAAACAAATGACCTTCACTCATTTTCAAGGTCACATGGGTCAAATATGTGAATAACCTTTAAACGACTTCTTGTGAAATTAAGAGGCCTTGGGTTATGATATTTGGCAAGTAGCATGCTGTGATGAAGGGCTACGAAGTTTGTTAAAATGAATGACCTTGACAAATATTCAATGTCACAATGGTGAAATACGTTTAAAGCCTTTAAACAACTTCTTCTCAATAACCAAAAGGTCAAGGATGATGCTATTTGGGCAGAAGCATGCTGTGATGAAGGGCTACAAAGTTTGTTAAAATGAATGACCTTCGCCCATATTCAGGGTCACAGTGGTTATTATATGTTTAAATCTATAAATTACTTTAAAATATTTTACCAAAAGCATGCAGTGTTGGAAGACTATAACTCTGTTCAACCTAATGTCCTTGTTTGACATTCAAGGTCACAGGCATCATATGTTTAAATCTTTTAATAGGTTCTTATGAATCAAACACTGATATTCTGCCCGTAGCTGTATTTTAGTCCACTTTTAAGATTACAAGTGTGAGATTAATACCAGGTGAGCGATTCAGGCCCATTGAGCCTCTTGTTGACACTTGCGTAGGTAATGCAGGTGTCTAGGTGATCGTGCATACTACGAAGTTTGCTTAACGTGGAATTGCACAGTAGATACTTGCACCATCTATGACCTTATATAGTCTCTCAGCCCTTATATGGTATCTGATATATCCTGATGTCATTCATTCACTTTCATTCATATGCAAATGTTTTCGGCAGTGACCCCTAGCATTTTTATTCATACCGTTAAGTGACACCACATTTTGTGGTTTGCCAACTAATAGGCAGGGAATGCATTCACTTCGATACTTTCTTTACTAGCCATATGTATGAGAAAAATACAACAATGCATAGATGGAAGGGTCTTAAGGTGCTCTACACAAATTGTGAATTTAATGACCCTGGGGTCTCACGTTTACCCCTGGGGAGGGGGTAAACTTTACTATAGTTTATATAGGGAAATCACATTATGGACCAACATTTGTTTAATTTTCATTGGAAGTAATTCAATTTGGGTTAGCATTATCAGTATTGGATAGCAGTTTGATGGTATGCACATATAAGCCCTGACTGACCCCCCAGGGATGATGGGTGGGGCAAAAAAGGGTCAAATTGACTGAAATTTCAAAAGTCTTCTTCTCAAGACCCAGATATGGTAGAATCAAACACTCTTCATAGATGGAAGGGTCTTAAGGTGCTCTGCCAAAATTGTGAATTTTATGACCCTGGGGTCTCACGTTTACCCCTGGGGAGAGGGTAAACTTTACTATATAGTTTATATAGGGAAATCACATTTTGGACAAACATTTGTTTAATTTTCATTGGAAGTAATTCAATTTGGGTTAGCATTATCAGTATTGGATAGCAGTTTGATGGTATGCACATATAAGCCCTGACTGACCCCCCAGGGNCAAGGGCTGAAGGGTGGGGCCCAAAGGAGTCAGTGTGCTAAAATTTCTTCATTTTTTCTTGTTTAGAATCAGAGGTGCTAGTTTCAAATACTTTTTAGTCTTAAATATGTATGCTAGATATTGAATAAGGTGGATTTATTGTTTTTTGTCACTGAATAATATTTCTGTTTGTGTTAAAAAAACAATATACTCTCTGTATAAATGAATCAGGTGACCGTTCAGGCCCATGGGCCTCTTGCTAAAATGAGGTTGTTACAAAACTTGCAAAGTTTGATAATTTAGCTCTGAAAATATGGGTTTTTAAGAATAAACAAGTTAAAATGGCAGCTTTATGTGTTAGGGTTATTTTTCATGACACATTAGAACACAAACTCCTTTTTAATTCACTATTCAATTTCAACAAGAAGCCCAAGGGCCTTAGCGATCACCTGAGGTATATCATAGGTACTGGTAGCTTTATTTTATTGTTTAGATGTGATGTGGAAATCAGCATGTAAACTAAGTGAAATACAATACTTGTCATGTCATCAAAGGATAAGAATTTGAAAATATTGGTAAATGTTCCCTTTGAGGCCCCGCCCTAGCCCCTGGGGATGGGGCAGGAATCCTAATTTTACAATGTTATACCCTCATTCACCAAAGATGATTCTGACCAAGTTTGAGTAATTTTCTGCTGAAAATGGATAAAATATACACAAAAGTGTTATTTCCCTATATAAACTATAGTAAACTTTACCCCCTCCCCAAGGGAGAACGGATAGCTCGGGGGTCCTGAAATTTACAATTTAAGTAAAGCCCCTGATGATCTTTCNATACACAAAAGTGTTATTTCCCTATATAAACTATAGTAAACTTTACCCTCTCCCCAAGGGAGAACGGATAGCTTAGGGGTCCTGAAATTTACAATTTCAATAAAGCCCCTGATGATCTTTCTTTTTATGCACTGAAATTGAATGTACATGTAGTACCCCTGAGTCTGGAGAAGAAGATTTTTGGAATATTGGTTAATTTTCCCTTTGGGGCCCCGCCCTGGCCCCTAGGGTTGGGGTAGGAATCTCAATTTTACCATTTAAAACCATCTTCCTACAAGGATGATTCTCCAGAAGAAGTTGTTTTAAGATTTTACATATTTGACCCATGTGACCTTGAAAATGGTTGAAGGTCATTTATTTGCACAAACTTGGTAGCCCTTCATCCAAGTTTGCTGCTGGCCAAATATCATCACCCTAGTCCTTTTGGTTATTAAGAAAAAGTTGTTTAAAATAAAATATTGACGCCGGGATGACGGATGCCGCACCACAGCATAAGGGCCAGGTGAGCTAAAAATTGGAACCGAAGAAGAAAAACAAAACAAGACATCAGATGTCCATGTTTATTGACAATACCAGTATATTACCTCATAAAACATTTACGACACTACAATAGGTCCAGGCATGTGTGACAGGGACTCATCTCAACCGCTAAATATTGGATGTCAAACCCAATATCATAAACATTCCGAAAATTCTAATTAAAATTCTTTCTTGTTACATCTAATTATAACCATTTTTCTGGAGGCAACATTTAGCTGAATAAGTGTTTACATACATTATGTACACATATACCTAATACCGGTACATGTAATTAGTTAAATTAGTTTTTATAAATTGTTAGTTGATCCTTACTGATTTGTGTTAGTTCTGGTTTGTTACAACAGCAGAGGTTATAAGTTGACAAATTCTTTGTATCATGTTTACAGAACAGAAATATTGTTTTGAATTTTTGATAAATATGTTTATCAATTTAGATAAAATTTGTGAGTATACAATTAATAAAAAATATTCTGATTAATTTTTTTACGATGCTCTGCTTGCTGAAATTGTGCTTCCCGCACTCTCCCACAGCGGACAGTTTCCTCTGACCTACTTACTGTAGTGTTCCTACCTAACTACAGTACACAGTTCCCACTGCAAATAAGCCTGAAATTATAACAGGACTTAATGGCAAAAAATCACATAATGGCAAAAACTTTTTCGCTTGAGTGCAAAACTTTGTTTATATAATTGATACTCTTTCTCTTGAAATGAATATTTAAATTTTATCTTGATTTTGTAATCTGATTAAAATAAAACTGCATATATCCAGTATGTTATGGTGTGAGTGGAGGTATGTGCTATTTTTTTTTTGTTTTGTTTTATAATTATCTTTTTACCGGACATAAGAACCTGTATGAAAACCGGTGTTAAAATGCTATTTGAAAATTGATGTCAGTATATGTCCATGTCAATGTGAATGACCACATGCATGTGTCATAGAAATATTCATACACATGTGTATATATATAATATATGTACATCTGATACTGTTTGCACAGTGTATATATTATTGTTTTCTCAACTGCTTGAAATTATGCTTGCATAAGGATGCATCTGATTCAATGTATGTAAGTCTGTCTCAATGTGTACATGTATGTATGTACTGCCTATCTGTGTGTCTGTGTGTCTGTTTCATGTATATATGTGGGTGTATTTGTATGTGTATTATGTTTTTTGTGTATTCGTGCTATATGTTTATCCTTGTTTGTAATATTATGTTGTATATGGAATTTGTTAGGGTGTGAAAGAAGTATGTTTTGTGTTCTTGTCCTGTACTCTATTTGCAAATATTTTGTTTTCCCGTTGCCCTTCCTATTTATTTATTTATAGTTTGACTGATGGATGTTGAATGAGAACCCTCCTGCATGAGGACACCATGTTCAGGGGCTGACTCCAGGGCTCCCCAACCCAGGCATCCCCTATCAAAATATTTATTTATATATGTATATATATATCTGCTTCGAAGCAGTATATGTATATACATATTTATGAAAAAATGGCTGGGGGAATAAAATATTTGTACTGAATTTTTTTTTTTTTAGATAAAATAGAATTTTAGCTTACACTTGGGACTTATGTTCAACTCAAAATACATTTTAGTACTACCATATACAGTAACAAGAGGCCCAATGGGCCTGCATCGCTCACCTGTTATTAATCTAACACTTGTAATCTTAAGATTTCATAAGAACCTATTAAAAGATTTAAACATATGACACCTCTGACCTTGATTGTCGAACAAGGACATTAGGTTGAAAGTGGATCAAGGTCATTCATTTGAACTAACATGGTAGTCCTTCATCCCAGCATGCTACAGGCCCAATTTCAGTACCCTGGCCCTTTTGCTTATTGAAAAGAAGTCGCTTGAAGATTTTACGACATTTGACCCCTGTGACCTTGAAAGTTGGTCAAGGTCATTCAGTTGAACAAACTTGATAGTCCTTCATCCCAGCATGCTACAGGCCCAATATCAGTACCCTGGGCCTTTTGGTTA